ATGAAAATGTTGTTTTGCATACCACAGAGGATATTAAAATAGAAAAAAAATGTGAGCAATTAACCTAGTGCTTGATTTGTTCTTCTTCAAAGCCTCTATCAAGACAGTGTGGTATAGTGAAAAGAACAGTTGATGGGGGCACAGGACCTGAATCATGGCTCTGCCACTTCTTACCTTTATGACCTTGGGTGAATCCCATAATCACAGTCTCAGTTAACCTCAATTGTAAGGTTCCTTCCAGCGTAAATACATAATCCTAAGTTATTTGACACTATCTTATTGAAGCTGAATCCTCTGTACATGTGAACAAGTTAGGTAATTATTAAAACTCTTTTGCTCTTGTAATCAAGCATGATTAGGCATGTGGCCATCCTCTAAATTAAGGCTTAATTTTTGTGAAGATACAGTAGGACTTAAAATCCATCAGATTTTAAATGTCTATTTTATTTAGACTTTTTATTGAGGAATAAGTAAAAGATAATATGAATACTAGTAACTTATGTAGTACTTAAAGGTTATATTGCCCTTTAAAATACCTTTCTAGGTGCCTGGGCCATCTCCAGTCGTCCTGATTTATATCTTGCCACTGAACCCAGATGGCTCCGGAGGAGCCCTCCCTCACTTAAATCCAATTCACTTGCAAGTTATGGCATCACCTTCCTGATGCCATGGTCCTCTTTGAGAACAAAGGACAAGCAACAATCTTTCTAGGTTCATTTGATGCCTGTAACTCTGTAAGGGAGGTAGGACAGACAGTTTGCTATCAAGTAGCTAGGTAGTTGGTACAGTGTATAAGAGTGCTGGACTTGGAGTCAGGAAGATCAGTTCAAATCTCATTTGAAATACTTACTAGCTGTATGTATGCTAGGCAAGTCTTTGAATCTCTCTCAGCCTATAAAATGAGTGTCATAATAGCACCTACCTCACAGGATTGTTGTGATAGTCAAACTAGATAACCTATATACAATGATTTGCAAACCTTAAAGCGCTATATAAATGCTAGCTGTTTTTATTTGCTATTATCATTATCCTTGTTTTACAGATAAAGATTGCCTTGGAGAGATTGTTACTTTTCCAAGGTTCAGTAACTTTTTAAGTGGTTGAACTACAACTCAAATATAGCATATCTTACTCTAAATCCATTACAGCATGGTATCCAATGGATAGATGATGGATGCATGTGATACTGTACATTTATTACATAATTTAAAAACTATAGAACCAGATGCCTGATTCTATTTAAATGGTATAATTCCATTTAAGCAGTAACTGGTCCTGATTCCTATTTCCTGTTGTTCTAGAAATGGCCTGACCTGATTAGTTTTAGCAAAAGGAAGGAGTCTGGTACATGACTCTAGTGTTTTTAATTTATCTGTATTTTTATATTCTTGTTTATAATGAGCTTGCCTTCCTTTTCCTGTTCTTTTCCTAAATCTTGGTTAGTCTTAAATTAAGTTCTTGAATTGAATAGGTATCCACTGTTTTATATATGTACCGCATCTTATTTAATCTTTGATGTTCAGAGAGAGTTCAGTTGTTTTTCAATCATGTCCGACTTCATGGCCCCATTTGGGGTTTCATTGGCAGAGC